CTTCTTTATTCAGAGCCAACTATTCTTTCCCTCCAATCTCATCTCTCCTCTTTTTAAAAAAATTGCAACTCTTATTGAAATATAACATGTGTATAGCATAATCCGTGAGTGTGTGTGATGAGTTTTCACAATGTGAACAAACCCAAGTATCCTGACTCAGAGGGTGAAACTGAGCCTCATCGGCACCCCAAGAAACCCCTTCCAGAAACTCCTCACACACTTCCCCCAAGGGTCTCATCCCCTTCTCCTCCTTGTGAACCTTACATACACATGGAGTTGCACAGAACAGATCCTTTGAGGCTTCTTGCCTCACTATTTTTTTTGTTGTTCTGAGCTAATTCCCATCCTGCTGGAATGTCAGAAAACGGTCATTGTGCTAGTCCCAATCCCAGCTGCAATGATGGAGGGGACTGGCAACACAAATGTAAGGTGCTTCACTATGCACAATACACCACAGGATGGAGGTTTCTCTGGCCTGGCCCCTCCGGCTGCAGCTGGAGAATGGATGGCTCCCATTGAGGGCTGTAATGGAGGAGAGACGGCACTTGCCCTGTGCTCTCCTCCTAATATTTCAAGGAGAGTGAAGCTTAGAATTGTTCAACATTCCCGGAAGGGCCATAAATTGCATTTTAGCTTGTTTCAATTGCAGAATGAAATGGCCTGTTTTCTTGGCAATTTTTACTTCTCCCTCCCAGTCCCTTGTCCTTGGTTCCCTAGCTGAGAGGTACATGGTTTCTTTCTTTTCTTCCTCTCATCAACTCTCTCCCCTTTTGGCAGTAGTTTTTTTTTTTTTTTTTTTGGTACCAGGGATTGAACCCAGGGGCTCTTAACCACCAAGCCACATCCACAGTCCAGTCCATTTTTATATTTTATTTAGAGACAGGGTCTTGCTAAGTTGTTGAAAGCCTCACAAAGTTGCTGAGGCTGGCTTTGAATTTACAATCCTCCTGCCTCAGCCTCTGGACCCACTGGGATTACAGGCATTCGCCACTGCGCCTGTTAGATTTTTTTGTCTGAGTTTGAGCCTCCTTGACCAGGGGCTTTTAGCCAATCTTGGATTCAGAATATCCTGGAGTCATAAGCAATTCTGAACATAATTGATTGACCCTGCCCTTCCCTGTTTAGTCTTTTTAAAAGCTGAGCTACTGCATGAGTTACACAGAGTAACTTAAGTCTTAGCATGCCGTGCAAATAATTAATTCAGCTTGATTAATAAACTCACATTTACACATGGAGACAATCATGTATGGATCATTTAATCAAGATATAGAACATTTCCAGTATCCAGAACACTGGCTCCTTCTCCCCCACTCCTCCATCTCCTTTTCTTCTTTCATCCTAGGACACCCTTTCCTGCTCTTGAACCTCAAATAAATGGAATCATGTGGTCATATTCCCTTGTGTCTGGCTACTTTCACTCAACTTCATAACAATCTGAGTTTCATCCAGGCTGTTACATGGATCAGTACTTTGTTCTTTTTTTATTACAGATTATGCTGTTTTATTTATCTATTTTTCTGTTCAAGGACATTTGGGTTGCTTCCAATTTGCGCTATTGTACAAGTTTGCTGGGGCTGCCATAAGAGAGTAACACAGATTGGCTGGCTTAAACATCAGAAAAAAACATTTTTTTCCCCTCATGATTCTGGGGCCTAGAAGTCAAGATAAAGGTGTTGACAGGGTTGGTTTCTTTGAGGACTTTGCTTCTTGGCTTAGAGAATCATCTCTCCATATCTTCACATGTCCTTTTCCCTATGTATGTGATCTATTCTTTTATATTTATAAAGGACCTCATTGAACCTTAATTATCTCTTTTAAAGCCTCTAAATGCAGTCACATTCTGCTTGGGGCTGGGACTTCAACATATGAATTTTGAAGGACACAGTTCAGCCCATAACAGCTTCTATGAATTGAGCTGCTATGGACATTTTTAAATGTGTTTTATACATGTAGACTTGTCCAAAGCAGTTGAACCAATTTGCACTCCCATCAGCAATATGTGAGGGTTCCAGTTTTTCTATATCCTAATCAGTTGCTTAATTTTGCAGATGAGAAACAGACCCTCAGAGAAGAGGTGCAAGCCTCACTTTTCCATATGTGGATCAGGAGCTTGAGGTTGCAGAGCATGCTGAGGAAGCCTTGTCCCCATCCTGCTTTAGGAATTTCTGAAATCCCCCAACACATTACTTCACTCAGTCATTCATCTAAAGCAGAATTGGGAACCACCTGTGGCTCAGGTCCTGCACTAGGTTCTGAAAGTGAGGTGGTGGGCAGCAGAGAAAGAAATGTATATGTATATGGGAACAACAGACAACAAACATGACAACTACATAAGTACATTTAGTATTATGGCTTGGATATAGGTATTCCCCCAAAAAACTCCTGTGTTAATGCGGAAATGTTCAGAGGTAAAATAATTGAATTGTGAGAGCTGGAATCAGTCTATCCTAGTTTGACTGGACTGACTGAGTGGTAACTGTAGGCAGATGGGGTGCAGCTGGTGGAGGTGGGTCACTGGGGATATATCATATAAGGGTTGTCTTCCCTGTGATCCCTTCTTTCTTTGCTTTCTGGCTACCATGAGGTCAGCTGTTTTCCTCCACCCTGCCCTTGGGCCATGATGTTCTGCCTCACCTTGGACCCAGATCAATGAACCCAAGGTAGACTCAGGCCTCTGAAACCATGATCTCCAAATAAACTTCCCCTCCTCTAAGTTGTTCTTGTCACGTATTTTCATCATAGCATTACAAAGTCGACTAACACATTTGGTATCTGCTGGGGATTAACTCCAGGAATACTCACAGATACCAAAATTCATGGATGCTCAAATTCCTTATATAAAATGGCATAGTATGTACATATAATGTAGGTATCTCTCTATTACTGATAATATCTAAAGAATACGAATATTATATAAATAGTTGTTATGCTGTATTGTTTAGGGATTAATAACAAGAAAAATGCCTGTACCTGTTCAGCACAGACACTTTTTTTTTTTTAATGTTTTCAGTCTAGAGTTGGTAGAATCCACAGGTGTGGATTCAGACACAGAAGGCTGACTATAGTTGCAGATTGTGGTTAAGTGCTGGACAAATAATCAACAAAACCCGAGCTAGGGAATAAGGAGTTTAGGTGGGAAGGGTGAAAGTGCCTCTAGATGGGTTGTTCTGAAGGGCCTCTCTAAGGAAGGTCAGAAAGAAGAGCTCCCATGGATTAGAAAGCACCCATCAAGTTAAGGCGAGGGAAAATGTCCAGGCAGGGAGACTAGGAACAACTTAAGCCCTGAAGTGGAGCTGCTCCAGGGAAGGGAGGGGCCAGAAAAAGATGGTGTTTATAACTGGAGCTGAGGGGGCCAGGGTGGAGGTGAGGCAGAAGGGGAGGTCTAGAGGGCAGGGGCCCAGACCATGCACAGCTGCAGGTCACAGTAGGATATTGGATTTTATTCTAAGGACAATGGGAAGCTATTGGAGGGCTTCCGGGGAGTGACCAGAAAAATTCAACTGACTTATCACATAGGGAAGAAGCACTTTAGAAGACTCTCACTGTGGCCTAGGAGAGACATGTAAGTGATTTAAAGGCGGGGGGCAGGAGAGATATATTTTGGAGGTAGAACTACTGGGACACAATGAGGGATAGAATGGGCATGTTGAGAAGAGGGGTTGAGTCAAGTTTTAACATCTAAGTTTTGGCTTTGAACCTCTAGATGGAGGGCAAGGGACTTTCAGTTATACTCTACAAACCTCTTGACTGTGCAATTCTTTCATCCAACTAATTATTATATATCTCGATCTTTTGGACATAGTAGGTGTCCAACAAACAGATTTTTTTTTTTTTCAATTGGGGATTGTGGCACATGCCTATAGTCCCAGCTACTCAAGAGGCTGAGGCAGGAGGATCGCAAATTTGAGGCCAGAGTGGGCAGGCCAACAAGACTCTTTCTCCAAAAAATAGAAAACAAAAAGGGTTGAGGGGTAGCTTAGCGGCAGAGTGCTTGCCTAGCATGTGCAAGGCCCTAGATTCAGTCCCCAGCACCACTAAAGTAAATAAATGTTTTTGTTTTTTTTTTTGAAAAAAATAAAGGATGTTTTCTTTTTAAAATTTTTAAATTAAGGTAACATATAACATTAATTAATCATTTTAACGTGTACAATCATTTTAACGTGTAAAGTGACATTTAGTACACTCACAATGTTATGCAACCATTACCTCTGTCTAGTTCCAAAATTTTTCATCACTCCCAAAAGGTGTCCCCTGAATTCAGTAAGCAGTCTCTTCTTGTTTCCTCCTTCCACCACAGCAACCACTAATCTGTTTTCTGTCTCTATCATTTATCTATTCTGGATGTTTTATATAAGTGTAATCATTCATTATGTGTGAGCTTTTGTTCCTGGCTTTTTATTAGCATAATGTTTTTGAGATTTGTCTACATGGTAGCATGTATTCATTCTTCATTCCTTTTAATGAGTGAACAATTTTCCAATGTATCAATATACCACATTTTGTTTATCCATTTGTCCCTTGAGGACATTTGGATTGTTTCTACCTTTTGGCTATTGTAAAAAGTGCTCTTATGAACACTGATGTACAAGCATTTGTTTGAATGCCAGTCTTCAATTCTTTTGAGTGTATATATAAAGAGTGTGGATCAAACCGTTTTCCAACAGCTCGATAAAGTTTTTCTGAGGGAAAAAGAAACGATAGGTGGGAGCCTGGGAGGCATGGATGAGGGCTTTTTCTATCCTCCCCAAGAAGCACTGGACTTTGCCATTTATAAACTGTGTGATCTGGATCAAATGCCTTAAATTCTCTGGGCTGATTCCTAATCTTTAAAATAGGAGGAAAGAACACCCCCCACCCCCCCATACTAATTGCTTCCCGTAAGTCCTTCCTTTTTCGCATTCACTTCAAGCTACTACCTGGCTCCGGAAAGTCCACTCGCCTGAATGCTCTGAGAGGTCGCAAACTACACGTCCCAGCAAGCCCTTCTCCCGGCCACCCCTCCCAGCCTGGTGCGCATGCTTTGGCAGACGTGGCACCGGGAACTGGGAGGCGGGGAGTGGTTGGGAAGTGGCGGTGGCTCTTGGCTCTTGGCGGCGGCGGAGCTAGCGGGCGGGCGTGGAAGCCAGAGTGGAGACAGGAGGCGGCGGCAGGTAGCGGCGGGGATGGCACGGGCCAGGCCGGCGTGGGGGCTGCTGCTGGCGATCTGGGTAAGGCTGCGGGGCGAGGGTGCGAGCGGGGGGCCGGGCCGACACGTGCGCCGGGCTAGCCGGGCTTGCCAGTCCGTGTTCTCAGCTCCCGGCCCTTCCCGGGGCGCGCGGGAGCTGCCTCCGGGCACCCGGGTCGGGGCGTGCGTGGCAGGCAGGCGGGCACCCAGTGGCCGCGCCGGAGAGAGCGAGTTGTCCGGGTTCCGTCCCCTCCGAGCGCTCGCTGGCACCGGGGCCAGCGGCAGCCCTGGAGCGCTAGGCTGTAGCGAGGTGCCTGCTACACGGCATAACTTTGCTAGGGCGCAGGTCAGGGGTCGCCCCCAGCTAGGGCGGGACTCTGGTGGGCCGGGGGATGCCCCTCGCCCCAGACTCCGGCTCTGCACCTGTGTGAGTGCAGCGTGGGTTGAGGGTGCTTTCCACTTGCACACAGGAAACCTTGTTTTAGAGCCACCCTTGTTCTTGGTTTCGACCCCAAAGGGCTAGGAAACTGCGGCTAGCCACCAGGTTCTGCCCCACCGGTCTGGGTGGAGTCGCCACCCGCGGGGAGTTCTCCGACATCTCTCCGATGTTGGCTCCAGCAGTACTTTCTAGCTGTAGCGTGGAGTGGCAGGTCACTTAAAGTATCTTAGTTTCTAACCCATGAGACGGGGACAGTCAAGACACCGCCCCCCCCCGCCCCCGCACATATATATACAAGGTTGTTGGGAGGGTGGGATGAGAAATCAGAGAAGGAAACTGCAAAAATCACACAGGAATAGAGGATGGGTGGGTCAGGGTGCTGGGAAGGGCGAGAGGAATCTGCTCTAATAAGGGGTCCTCTGGGCGTCCCTGGGAGAGGTTGGAATGGGTGTGCCGGGCCAGCTGAGGACCTGGGTTTGGCTCTTGGTGTTGCTGTGGGTGTGTGATGGGATGAGTGGCCTTCCACAACTTTTCCAGAACTTCTTATCTCTCTCATGTTAGTACCATCCTGGCTCCCTTTTGTCCTGAAGTTCCAGGGAATCTCCAGCTCCTGGAACCCAGATTTTGCAGTTTTTTTTTTTCTTTTTGGGTGTGGCAAGGATAGTGGGAAATGGGAGAAGAAAAACTGTTGGCTTAAACATTTCCATCTTCCAATAACTTGTCTGTCTGGGATCACCAGTGACGAGTGGTCCAGCATTTTCTGATTGTCCGAAGACGGTGGGGAAGAAAACTCTGCTGTGAGGTCTCCATTCTCCTTTCAGAATAGAACCAGGCTGGAGTGAGGCTCTTCACTGTCTCTTCACTGCATCTGGGTGTGTTGCATATCTCTGCCATCAGTTCCCTGGAGGTCTCCAAGCCAGGCAGGACTGAGCAGAGGATGGGGCCATCTCCTCCCTGACATCCATCAGGTCTTTGCCCTAAGATTCTTTCAGGGGGTTCTGCCATCTTCCCTTTTTCTCTTCTTGTGAAAATGGAGAGCTTGGGAATCCGAAGTTTCATTCAGCAAACATTTATTTTTATTTGTCAACCACATTGCTTGGCATAGGGTTGGATTTTGGGTAGGGAACAAAATATACATGGTGCCTGCCCTCTGGTGTTGTCCTAGGCTGGGCTGGGTGTTAGTCCTGTGAGTAAAAAAGAGAAGAGCAGGTACTAATACCCTAACTAACTGCTGGCTACCATTGAATGGGAGGCATATATTAATTTAGAGGGAGGTCAGTCTGTCATGATGGTGGGCTAAGCAGCATCTGTAGGGAGTGGGTGCTGTAGTTAGCTAGACAGTGGAGGCCTGCGATGTCCTCCTCTGGGCCATGTGGAAGAGTAGGAAGGTTTGTGAGAGCACTAGAAGCTGGGAGTCCTGAGCAAACAATGTATATCTTTTCTTTTCCCTAAAACAAGAGTTGGCTTAGCAGGTACAAGTTGGAGGGAATCTATAGGGACAGTGGTGAGTGACTACTGGACACTGGGCTGGGCCTCTGTAAATTTGAATGCTAGTGGATCAGATAAGGGTTTCCTGAGTCCCTGGGAGCAGATTGGGTTTCTTTGTTCATTCGGTATTTGCTGAGGACTGATATGTGCACAACACTGGGCTGAGACCCAAGGAATATAAAGAAGAACAGTGGTCTCCTCCCATCCTTGGATTCACTTCCTGCAGTTTCAGTTACCTGCAGTCAACAAGAAGGGAGAGTACAGTACATTATTTTGAGTGAGAGACTAGATTCACATAACTTTTATCACAGTATAGTTGTAAATGTTATATTATAATTAGTTAATGCTGTTACTCTCTTACTGTGCTTAATTTGTAAATTAAATTTTATTATAGGTATGTGCTCAAAGGAAAAACAGAATAGGTAAGTAAGGTTTGGTACTATCTGTGGTTTCAGACATCCATGGGGGTCATGGGACTATCCCCCTTGGACAAGGGGGACTACTGTATAAAGGAGTCTGCAGGGATTTGTGTTCAGGGATGTACACCCACCATATTATAGCAAAAATATGGAAGTGACTTAAATGCTCAACAACAGCTAGTACAGGTATGTACTTCTGACCCTGTTCATACTATGGAAAGTGGCATTTGTCTTTGTCATTTTGGGCCACCATAACAAATATACCATAGCCTGAGTGGTTTATAAATAGTAGAAATCTATTTCTCACGATTCTAGAGGCTGGGAGTCTGAGACCAGGGTGCCAGCATGGTTGGGTTCAGGGTTAGGGGTGGTCTTCCTGGCTGCAGACTGCTGACTTTTGTTTGCATCTTTACGCGACACAAAGAAGACTGGTGAGCTCTCTTGGGTCCCTTTTCCAAGAGCACTGATCTCCCTGATGAGGGCTCTACCCTCACAGCCTAATCACCTTCCCAAGGCCCCACCTCCTAATACTGTCACAGTAGGGGTCAGGATTTCAGTGTGAATTTTGAGGGGCTACAAACATTCAGCCCATTGCAGTGCTTATAAATAAATGTATTGATTATTGTTAAAATGTGTTAAGCTGTTGATGAAGAGTATCTAAACTTGTGGAAAAGTGCCCAAGTGTAATTACCAGAAAAGCAGGATATAAAACCGGATCCCAAGGTGGCTGATGTTCCGTGTGTGAAGAATTAGCTGTGCTCCAAATGTTAGCAGTTATTATTCTGGAAGGTGGAGTGGTGGATGACTTTCACTTACTTCTTTGCTTCTACTTTTCATATATTTTCCCTGTGAATATGTATTAGTTTATAATCAGATAAGTTAAAGATTTTATAAAAAGCTCTCCTTGGAGATCTTCCTTTAACCTCCCAGAAACATACTGGAGTTGAGAGTGGCACTGTCAACACCTGAGACAAGTTAGCCCCAGAGCTCCCAGGTCATGTATCTCTGCCCTTGGGAGCTCCTGTGGTGGAGGCTGTGCTGTCCCATGGAGCCCTGTGAGTGACATCAGCCCTGTTCCTCCCTGCAGTGCTCCCTTTCCTGGAAGCGTGCCTGTGGATTGCAGTCCAGTCTCTGTCCAGTCCACAGGATGGAGAGGTGTCCTGTCAGGGCTGGAGCACCCTCCGTAATTCAGTGGTTCTCGGACATCAAGCCAATGACAGCAGCTGTGCTATGATCAAGTTTTCACTGATCCACAGACAAATTGGACAAATAACTAGAGTGAATGTTCTTGCTGGTATTTTTTTTTCTCCGAATCCAAATATTTTAAGTTAAAAAACTTGTCTGCTATTTTTTTCTGACTTGATGTCCCTATTTTGGTGGGGTGTTTCTAGTGTTGTTTTTTTTTTTTTTTTTTTTGAAAAATGAAACTGCTGATAGCATATTGTGATTTCCTTTTAAAAAGTCCTTAGTAACATTTATTTTCAGGTGTGTATGATGCATATTTTAATTTAAAAATATATTTTAAGCTAGGCTTGGTGATGCATACCTGTAATCCCAGTTACTTAGAAGGCTGAAACAGGAGGATTGCAAGTTTGAGGCCAGTCTTAGCAACCTACTGAGACTTTGTCTCAAAACTAAACAGCTGGGGATGTGGTACCCCTGCGTTCTATCCCTAGTACTGAGGATATGTATATATATATATATATATATATATATATATATATATATATATATATATATATATATATATATGTATATATATATATATAGCCTGAGATTCAAAAGTCTGAGAACTGCTCTCATTCAACCCTTTTATTTTATTTTGTTTTATTTTCCAGTGCTGGGGATGGAAACCAGGGCCTTGCCAATGCTGGGCAAGTGCTCCACCACTGAGCTATACCCACCCCAGCCCTCATATTTTATGAGGGAATGATGAGGCTCCCAGAGGGATGAGATTCACAGCCACCCACTTAGCAAGGGCAGAGCTGGAGTAGAGCCAGACCTGCTACATTGTAAATTGGCTTCTTCCCACTCCTGTCCTCTCAGTTCCCCATCTTCCGCCTGCTCCCCTGCTTTGCCCCTGATGGTGACTCGAAGCTCAGACCCTAGGGGACAGTGGGTGGAGGTAGGGGAGACAGATGTTTGCCCCGTTCTCTCCTGCAGAGCTTTTAAGGTACACTCACTCAGGTTCTGTACTTCTCTGGGACCATTATATATTTAATAGGCTTTTGTGGGCTGGCCTGGGGACCTTATTGCCATTTATAATGCTGTTTCGAACCTGGAGTGCACTTTTCCCACAGAAATAAACACATTAAGGAGGAAGTCTTAAAACAGAGCCTGTGCATCAGGTGGAGCTGTGGCTGAGTGCCATCCGCGTGACAAGTACCGACTGCTGGGGATTTGGTACAGGGCCAGGCAGTGGGCACTGAGTGACCAGAGAAGGCTGCATGAAATAATGAGTTGGGAGCTGGCCTCATGAGAAAGGCAGACTCCCAGCCCTGTGACCAGAGTGTGGATCCTCCTGTCTGGCTGACATGTTCCTAGCACCTAGCCTAGCCCTGGTGCGCAGGGGTGTGTGTGTGTGTGTGTGTGTGTGAGTGAAAGAATGAATGAGGCAGGCAGGGAAGGAAGCCTCCAAGACTGAGACCCAAGGAGGGAGAGGCCAGGCTTTGAATCTGGCGATGGGTCATAAAGAAG